TCGGACTTTTGGCTTGCATTTCCAAGAGATTCGTACCATGACTTGTTCCTCGGCGGCATAATCCCTGTAGTCATGGGATATCTTGAAGCCAGCCGCATATACCCGACAGTACTCGTTGACCGAGCCAGGAATTTGGTTGTCGGCGTCAACAAAACCGACGTATTCCTTTTCTGAAAAGAAAGTCCTCGCCATTGCGATGCCGAGATACATGCCCTCCCCCTTTCCATCTCTAATTCGCTCAACCTCTGGAGACTGCGAGTCTAAAAGCTGAGGTATTCCAACTGCCTTGAACGCAGCGGCCGCTCCATGGTACTTTTGGTGGACTAGAATAGCCTGCCTTCCGTACATACAGACGGTTTTGAGCATATCCGAGAGAGAACCGTACCCGTCAGCACAATTTGATACCAAGATGACGGCACAGTCTGCGGGAATTCCGCAGAGAACGCTCCGTATCGTCGTTTGGCTTTCGTCTTTGCAAGGAACGATTATGACCATCTTGGCCAAGACAGATTCCAACGCTTGGTTAGAAAAGGAGACTGTCTCCTGGCTCACTCGGGCAGGTGTCAGTTCAGGAGAGGTGGGAGACGTCTGGATCATGGTAGGTGGTGCTGATCGAGATTCGAGTTCGACAACGTCAATCTGCTGCATGATGGAGACCGAGCCAAGCTGGCGGTCGGAATTGGGCATGGTGAGCCGCATTGTGTCGTGTGGGTGCTGTTGTGTCGCTGTTGGAGCGTTTTATGTAGATAAATATGTATGGTTATGGTCTCAAGGGGGGAGACGGTACGGGTAGGAAGCTTAAGAAAGGTTCCTTAACACCACCCAAGCAGCTGCCAGGGCAAACAAGTTATATACACCAACACCTGGACTTTAGAAACACCCAGCAGGAACGACGACATTACGTCTTGCCGAGGTAAGCCGAGAAGAGGCGGCGTCGTCGCAGCTGAGAGCATCGTATCCCCACCACTGAATGACATATACAAACGTCACGGGTCTCCGTCTACGCTGCGTGCTCGCGGCACGAAAAAGTAGGGACTTTGCTGATGAAGGTTTATGGGTGTAAGTCTCTGTCTGTGTGTGGATATGTTTCGATGTCTGTTTGCGACTCTGGGCGCCATGTGGTTGTACAGAACCAACATTGACAAAGACTGGACTTGGGCCACAAACAGACACACACGTGCCAAGGAGCCTCATGGGTGTCCTTGCCATTGTATGTGGCTGACCCGTAGAACTGGTAGCGATGTCGGGGCATGTAGGGGACATCACACAATGTACAACCTTTGATTGGCAAGTCGTCTTGCTTTCTGCACCATCCTGTCAATTTCCGCTTCACGCGCTTACTGAAAGGGGGGTTGCTTATTGAGACTAAAATCCCATCACTTCGTATGTACCACACCAACCACCCGAGTCTAATCCACTTGTTCGGGTTCCTTCCCATCACCCACCCGAGCCTTTATCTACCAGAAAGCTGGAAACAAGAATTCTGAGCATCTTTTTTTCCTGGAATTTTGGAATTGAATCGACCAGGGGTAACCAAGCCGTCGGTATAATGTGTGTGTATGCCTAAGCTAAGAGCCAACAAGTCACAAATCCTTTCCTCTATTTCCTGTTCTATTTCCTTTCTTTCCTGTTTTTTTAGACTCCCTAGACCTCGACCAAGAATCGCGTGCTTTAGCTCGAGTACACTACTATCCGTATTTCGGGTGGACTTGGCCCGTTAGGCCTCAGCTGAACCTCAAGGGAATCGGGGAGTTGCCAGTGCCTCGCACGGAGTTTTAGCATTGTTGTATGTTTCATGTGGCAGCCACAATTTTGCCGTCAGGTACTGATTCGCCCGAAGCACCGATAGTCGGCTTGTGTTTGCCGGTGTTATTTCGATATGAAAAAGGCAGCCTTCGGAGCATGGATCGACTTGCAATTCGGACCGCGACACGTGTTTAGGTACGAGGAGAATCCGACCTTTCAGGAGAGCTCGTGTCTGTTTCTGGTTATCATTTGTCTTGGAAGACCAAAACCTTGTTTTTCAAACAAAAAAACACCAAGAGAAACCTGATGACACGCACATGGTTTTTGTTTCAACGGTTGAATATTCCCCCCACACATATATACCAGGCTAGGGACGTTGTCATCCGAAGGCCCGCAACTGTTGGTGTACCTGCCGGCCGGCAGATCATCCCAAAGAAGCACCAGTGAGCCCCCACCGGGCTGTCCTTGAATGGGAATTACGTGCGAATCGGGGGCCAGCAGCATCCTTTTTTGGAAATCATGGACATGATATCTCGGAACGGGTTCCGTTCTGTCTTGTTTTCCCTGTATCTATCAACCACATCACCAAAGTTCATGTCTGAAGTTGGTATTGTAGCTTCACGTGAACATAGATGCATGCCGGAAGAGGGCCAGATATCACTGTTCCCCACCGAATCACCCGAATTCGGGCTCGTGCAGGGTTGCGTTGACTTCAAGTTGAAACCAAGCCACATGTTATTGGCCAGGTACACTGAATGTGCCTCCGCCACACGCGCAACTGACAGCACCCTTATCTTGATATACACGGCACTTCTTTAACAAGGAGATAGACAGGCAAGACGCCGTTAGACTTGTTGCATCACGCCGTCCTCAAGCCCCCACCAAAGCATGACGCACCAAAAGTCGAAACTGCTGTGATCTTTGCTTTCAGCACGTTAAAACATCGACATATGACTTGGAGTCTTCGGGCTAATCTGTTGTGCTCCCACACTCCTGCAACCTGAATCTTATGATCCAACGTCGCAGCCAGCCTCCTCGGCATGCTCAGTTGGGAAATCCTGGTAAGACAAAAGATGACGCCAACCACCCGCCTCCCTGATTTTTTGTTAAATTCCTTTTCACTCTTCTCCTCTAAGAGGAAAAAGTCCGAGGTACATGTATCTCTTCTCACATGTCAGTTGGCAATGGAAACAAAGCAGGTTCGAGAAAGGACAAACACTTGGAAGCGACAAACAATAAGAAAGGGCGGTGAAAAAAAAGATGTTGAGCAGGCCAGTCAGGGTTAGGGTTCATGCCGACATGCTACTCCCGAGCACGAGCCGTATGGCGGCTCGCGCTCAGGAGCAGGAGCATATATAGCCTGAGCATGGCCCGAAGGGCCTCGCTCAAAAAAGACAATCAGATCCTTCTTTTCTTACTCTCGCTCGTCCCTGAACATGCTCCTTGGCACTCCCCCATGCTCCACAAAAGAAAAGTCCAAGTATCCAAGTATAAAAAATTAGGGTACCTAACTACACTACAAAAATAAACAGGGGACCTGGCGCCGCCGCCACGAAAACCACCCGCGTCTAATCCAGGTGGTCCTAAAAGCTGCATCTGCGGGGGATCACCACAACGCTTTGACGTTTGACGCATGCCAGACCCGCATGGCACACGGCACACCACAGAGCTAATGCTTTTTAGCGAGGATGAAGGGTGGTTGCTATTGCTGGGGACAAGGCTACCTATGAGGGTACTGGAGGGGTGCCGGACAGAGAAAGAAGCAGGGAAACCGTGTGTCGAACCCGATGGCTCGGAACCTTCATGCATACATGATGTGCTTCGTAAGTGATTCACTGAACCCATTACCTCTTCTAGGTTGGAAGGATGAAGTTGTTGGTGATGGAAACTGAACAGGCCAGCCAATACCAAGGAGTGTTTTACTAAACCGTTAGCAAACAAGTCTAGGAAGCCTTCAGTCGACCAAGCGCCTTGTACGGATTAGAGTAGTCGATGTACTCGATAGAATGTCGACCGCGTGGCCGTCGCCGTCCGGGGAAGCTACGCGTCTTTTCCTGAGCAAGCAGCATGAAGACAGTCCGGCAAGTGGATTTCTGTTCCTAGTGTAAACTACCTGAGAAAGCTAAAGCGAGTGTAGTGTAGTGTATCTGCTTGGTGTTAAACACGTAACCTAATTAGCGGCAGGTATTGTCTCGCGATGCTTCACGTGAGAGGGAATCCCCTAGGGTCTCGATCGCCGATCATTCTCGTCGTCAGCACCAAGTCAGACATGAAAGTCCCCAGCGTTCGTTGGTAGTCCTTTCCCGAAAAGGCCTGAGATAATGTAGTTCTTTGTTCTGAACCGCGAGTCCGTGAAGGGAAAGAGAAGAGAACAGTCGAGACACATGCGGAGCTCATTCAGCCTTGGAGCCATCCTTTGAACCAGAGACTCGGCGTGGGGGTGGAGGATCGATGTCAAAACTCCAAGTTGCCAAGCTTGGCCAAAAGAGAAACGGGCTCGAAATTCATACCCCGGCGATAATTACCCCAAGGTCCCATCTGTGCGGCCGCAGAAGTGGGTGACTTGTTGCAGTTGCAGAGTTGATCGAGATAAGTGGTGATTACGATTATCAGATCATCTTGGTCGGTACTTACTGTGATATCACCAGGAATAACAGTTATTAAAACGGTAAGAAAATGAACCCAGACCTCGTCGACCCTTTCCTTTTCAAAGCCCAGGGAAACACCAGACGCGCCCATAGAATCCTGGCGAAGGAGCCCTGACGGACGCGGTAGCAAGCTCAAGGATTTCGGCTGACACCTTCCGAATCTGTCCAGCCGGTATTTGAGTGCGTCACATTGGGAAAAGAGAATCAGGAGCCCAGGCTGGAAAGAGGAGAGAATAAGAAGCCACGGCACAATGCTCCCCAGTTGAAATTAGTCCTAATTCGCCCGCTGAATGGAGCCCAAGTCGTCCATGATCGCCTGTAGGCAGACACCCAACGGCTTCTCTTGACTGAGACATTCTCATCAAAAGACTCAGCATCCGAACAACCAACAACCAACGCGACGCCCTTTCTTGTCGTTAGGCCCAGTCGAAAATCCACGCTCAGTTGGTCCAATACAGGAGGCTGGGAAATTAGTGATAATGTGGAAATATCGTGTATACGCGTATCCAAAGTCAAGGCATGTGTGTTTTGACCGTAGAGACTCCTCCTGAGTCATGGAGTCATGATGCTTACTTTGGACCCCACCATCTCAACAAGCATCAGGCAGGCAACTTGGCCGAGCGGTCTAAGGCGCCACGTTAAGGTCCACACCCTTAATAACTATCTTGACTTGCAAGATTCCGTGGTCCGAAAGGGCGTGAGTTCGAATCTCACAGTTGTCATTACCAAATTCAAAGTCACATTTGTCCGGTGTGATACTTTTGTGTCATTTTGCTTTTTTGTCCTGGCAGCATTACAAGAGAAGACCTGAAAGGGTAAGACGGGTGAGATCGTGGGTTTCTCGTTTTGAGGGGAGCGAGAAGACTCGGGTAGCGTGATGGAAAGGGCTGAGAAAATATAAGGTGGACGTTGTTGGCCGTGATTGGCATGTGATTCCTGAAGAATGATTGTTTTGGGAAACAGCCAGGTCGGCGCTCAAGGACACTTTGGGGTGATGGCGGTAACAGAAGGTGTGGCTGCGAAAACCAAGTGTCTATCAATCGTACGATGTGGATTTTTGCGATGTTGATCGTAATCTTGTTATGGGAACTATTGACCGGTACAAGGCAGCAATTGAAGACGGGAAGATGAAGTGTCGGCAAGGAGAAAACCCGTCCAGAAGGAGTGTCGGGCGCAGAAAGTTTCCAATCTTGCTAGCGGGAATTGATGGATGTGCGCACGCCCGAGTTTAATTTGGCGTCCCCGTTTGAGCTGTGGTACTTTCATGACATTGGCTCCTTTCCGAAAGAAGGTTTCAAGAATGTGGATGAGCAAGTGTCCGTATCTCGACGGCAATGACAGGTGGTGTTCCGCAAGAAACCTGAAATTGTTGCGGTCTGCGGGCTCGCTAGGTTCTTCCCTCAGTGAGAATTGAACCTCAGCAATCTGGAAATTGCTGTGTCTCGGTCCCGTGAGTGACACCCGCCGTAATTGTAGTCTCTGTAATCTGGCTGGCACTTCCGGTCGGGAGCCTGAGATTGCAAGATCAAAGACCAAGGAAAGGACTTCCAGGTTGGGAGAAAAGAGCAACCCCCTATCCAGAAGCTCCGTCCTCGTCACAATCACAGAAAACCCAGACCAAACTGACACGCATGAATTGGTATTACCTGTCAGTCCTGACGGGTAGCAACACTTTCGAAATGCCTCGAAATTCAAGTGCGCAAGAATGAGGAACTGGAAAGATGCTTAAATTAATCACGCAAATAGTTGCTGCTGTCAAGATAGCAAAATGAAAGAATTGTTATTTCTCCAATGGAGAAAATATATATACTGAGGCCCTCAGAGAGGGCAAGCAGTGCATTCTTGGACGGGGACGGGAAGAGTGAGGTGTTGGTGGACAGCAAACGAATGGAAGAGTGGACCGGGAAGGGGCAGGTCAACCGCAGCGGGAACATTCCAGGTTGGGTGGTAGTCAGCGCACCAGTTTTATTGAGTGACACTGCCCGACAACCGATGACGAGACGGATGGGAGAGATTTCCGTGATGGAGGAAAGGGCGAGCACCACAAATTCCTATTCTTTTCACCTCAAAGGTCGGCTCGAAATCTGCGATGGTGGGCGACAACTATAACCCCCCCCTTCAGAAGAGAGTTCTCTCTTTCATCAATCGAACCAGAGCAGAAGAGGTGAAGAATAGATGTTGATGTCTGACAAAGGTAAATGGTGTGACTCAGGAAGCAATCGTGCAAAGGGAGCTTGTGCTGGACACAAGCCATCAAAGTTTCTATATCTACACTGAATCAAAATTTATTAGTATCGTTCAATACCCATCCCATCCGATTTACCAAACCCCTTCCACCTCAAATCATGCTCTTCTTCCGAACCGGCACCGCCCCCAACCCTTCACCCTCCAACTCGGCATGCCCTGCTCTCAAACTCTTTCTCGCCTTGGACGAATCTCGATACACACCGCCAGGAATCGTCGGTCCAGCTCCCATTCCCAATCCCATTCCCAATCCGTGCTCGAAAAAGCTCCCGCTCCCGGCCATCTTGCCGGCGACCAACTTCTCCCCCGCCGTCCTGATGGAAACACTGTCCCCTTCCATCTCGTTCACCTGTACATGTTGCTGGCGCCCAACAAATTTATCATATGGACTCTCGGGGTATCCTCCACTTCCTGGCGACTTGGGTGGCGCGGGAAAGGTGTAACCGTACCATGGATCGTTGGGAACCCCGGGGATGGAGCCGATGCCGCTTACTGCCGTCAAGCCGGTCGGCGTGCGAATGTGTGTCGTCGGGAGTGAACGGGATGAGGCGCCTCCGAGGAGTTGGATAGGATTGGAGCCTTCTTCGGATGTGGACGGAGAGGCGCGCGATCGAATACCGTTCTTCCTTCCGAACCAAAATCCCAGCAAGCCAACCATGACGAGGGCGAAGAAAACACCAATGACTATCCCAGCTATTAAGCCTGCGTTGGGTTTCTTGGAAGGTTTGGACTCGGGAGCATCGTCGGCCTCGGAGGTAATAAGCTTCGGTGGAGGAGTCGTGGTTGAAAGTTGTTCAGGGCTCGAGGTCATTAATGAGGATTCGGTACTGCTCGCTAACCCTCCTGAAGATGATGTGGCTGTCTCAGCGGGCATTTCGCGGTATATCGTCGTCGCTAACCATTCTTTCGCGCAATTGTAAACCATGACACTCTGGGTTGGCGAGGCAAAGTTGCCAACGACGGTCATGGTGTAGCATTGTTGATCTTGGGCGCTAAAATAACGGGATTATATCGCAGGTTAGTGACATGATTCTCAAGTCGTTGTCCTCAGATAGTTCCGGAAAGAGGAACAAGGCTGGCTCACCAAGTGAAGGTACCTCCAAGTCGGTTGGTGGCGGTTCCTGTAGCACATGCAGTCGGAAAATTGCAGTTACCTCCGATGCTGCAGCATCCTGCATACGAGGACGAGGTTGCGAATATCGAATTGGGACCGCAGTTGAGTGTCTCGACTGGACGCCTGTCAGTATGTATGTATCACAACCGCCCCCGGCAAAAAGAAGCTTGTCCTACCTCCTCCATCTGGTTTCCGGTAAAGCCCCTGATACCTCCCTGGGGCATCGGTTGCTACTGTTTGCGCCCAGGCAACTCCAGCAAGACATTCAAGGAAAAAAAGAGCGACTGAAGTGAGTTGAACCATGATTCCCAAACTAGAATCACGTAAAGAAAGTGTATAACATTATCCGACAAAAGGAAAAAGAGAGAGTCCGTACCCGAAGCAAGATGGAAGCCATCAGAGAGACTCGGAGGGGGCAGGACTGGCAATAAAGGGGATAAAGACGCAACAGCGAGGCATGGAAAGGATTCACGCCTTCCGACTCGGAGTAGGTGGCTGTCAACTCCAACTGCGAGACATGATCCGCGCCGACCAGTCATCACATCGTGCCTCTTCCATCCAGGGGTAAATTCCCTGATCGGGTCATTGGTGTGTATTGAGATCGGATCCTTCCGCTGGCACCGATCTTGCGTAACGCGACGCCGCCAATCACGGTGACATTATTCTGCAGCACCCTTCCAGAAGGCCACACAACATAACAGCGCCGCAGAACAACTTGGGATGATGGAACGTCTCACACGCCAAGACCTGTCACCGATCAACGAGTTTCGCGGGCATACCTGTGTGACGAGTGACAAGATATGGGGAGCAGAAGAAAAAGATACAAGGGCAAGTGTGAAACGCGGCCACACAAAAAAATGTGAAAATAACGAATTCTCAGATGGCGGATTATCAAAGAAACACTGATTTGAAACTCACCATTAGAGCAGTACTCACCTGTTGGGCGCAAAAGGTCAGTTCTGTGCCTCAGGCCGTCGACACCAACACTCAGGGCTAAGAGGGGCGAGGCCTGCTGAAGATTGATTCAGAAAGGCTCGCTGCTGTGCCGCCATGTCGACATTCTATCGAGGCCTTGATCCAAGGTAAAGATTCGGAGGTATAAAATTTAGGGGCCGGAGTGTCCGCTACGGTGGATAGGGGGTCAAGAACGATTTAGAATAAACCACAAACTTGTTTCAACAGAAGCACACATCACAACAGAAACGAAAGAGGGCAAATGTCAATCATCTGCCGATATCAAAAACAGGGAACCCCAACCCAGCAAGCAGATGACGATCCAAATCCGCTTTCAAAACAATAGTGATTGGGGCCAGCAGTGTACGCGATACCTATCCAATGCAAGCAATCGTCCATGTGGACAGCTGCTTCACAAGCTCACAGCCCGCTGAATCATCGCGATTCGAGATGGCGTGTTTTGGCCTCTCCACCTTTCGGAACCTCGGATTCAATATCTCCACACACTTACAACGTCCGGAGTCCAGACCGTGAGGAGTGAAGATACAAAGATTTGATTTCGGCAATTGAAAAAAAAGAAAAGAAAAAAAAACCCCTCAAAATCTTCCGTGCTTCGTAATCGTTCTCGAACACTCACAAAATAGGTATGGCGCAATCTTGTTCTTTCTCTGTTTTCCTCGACAACCGCCAAAACACAAAAGTGCTACCGTGACATCACGCGGATCTCAAATGTTTGGCTTTCCCGCTGTGCCCGTGTGTGTGTGTGCATCGCATTCGGAGCCTTCGGAGGTGCACACTGCTACGACGCAGTGGCGTCTCATTCATCCGTCAATCGGATGTTTCTCCGAAAAAAAATACTGCATCTTCGTGGGGGTTGTATTTCGGGATTCGGATGGACCGCTGATTGCTTTCCTCTCCACAAAAGTCCCGCGACACCCCCGTCCGGGAGATCTAGTCGGGATACTAGTGTAAAAGGCTGAAACATAAAAACGAAACGAACGTTCCTCAAAAAAGATAAAGGAAAGAGAGAAAAAGGGGACCCAATTGGTGATACGGCACGTGTGTACGGATACCTATCCGAACCCGAAGTTTGGGACCTATTCCGGTATGGTCCACTGTTGCCAGCAAACACACAGACACAGTTGTGAAAAGTCGGGGGTATGCACAAAGTCCCTTGCATATAAATTTGCATTTCGGAATTGCCTACCTCCCCTAAATGACTGGCTAACTTTACCAAATTAGGCCTAGACTCATTTATCCATACCGACCTAATCCTATTCAAGTAAACCTTGAGAGAGCACCACCCAAGCTTCAACCAAGCTTCAAATGGAATCACTCCTGAAACTTCGCTTCTCTTTGACAGCCGAAACTCAAAAACAAACCAGAAAATAATAAAAAAGAAATCTCCCC